TTCTGCAGTTGCTCATGACACATTTCCCAGACACATCAACCTTGAAAGCTCTGCTGACAAGGGATATCGAAAGACACCCTACAGGAAACACCTTGGTAGAGAGCCCTGAAATAATTATCGTGACCACTATTTATCATCACGCGGCTGTCGATACGCAAATGAATCGTGTACACAACACAGCCCTGTCGAGTATCTGTGAGTGCGTGCGCGGGCTAACACTCGTCACCTACTCCTATCCATCCACGTTTAAACTTCCCCCCAAAAAAACTTTGTTCTCTCTTCCAAGCGTTCGGGAAACTTATCCAATAGGAAAAGTACGTGCGAAAAATAATACAAATTTATCCATCTCCAGGCGGAGTACCTGTTCAAGAAGAACCCAGAGGCCTGGGCGTTCCAGCCAGACCACACCGAAACCCTCAGCTCAACCATCGATTCCGTCCAGCAGCTAAGAGCGGAGGGTCTGCTTCAAGCTGACTACGGCCTCTACGATCTCGTGAGTCTCGCCTTCACCAACGAGTGCAGCGGCTCCGGCAACGAATCGAGCACGGTAGAAAAGACTAGCTACGCGGACTCACTCGCACCCGAAAGTGGATCTTGTGAGTGCGAGAGCTGCGACTGCGACAGCAGTGGAATGGAGACCCCCCACGTAATAAAGGAGAATACAGTGGAAGTAGCACCCATGGAGATGATACCGACAGAGAAAGACATGGCCCTGACGTTTGGGGTGTAATAATGAATGACGGCTGCACGTCGTTGTAATTGATGGCTGTATTTTTATAATTGGTGTCGAAATAGATATCCACGAATTTGTGTATTGTATTTTTGCTGGCTTTGTCACCACCTCGATCCCGGAAGATGTGGGCTCTGTTTTATACTTACAGCAAAAGTACAAGACAGGACGTTTTTTTGTCTTTTTCTGTTAAACTTTCTTTACTCGGTGATCCAGGAGAGGATGGAAAGAATTTACGGCCGCAGTGGAAAATGAATCGGGAAGAAGCCAAGAAAAAAAGCTGCGCTTACAAAGTATCTCCAACTAAATAGTAATGGGTAAGAAAATAAAACGCCGCTCCTTCACTTCGAATCGTCAAAATAACGGAAACGACAATGACACTGACATTAATACATGCATCGCAGCACAAAACGCGTAATCAACGTCAAAAATATGTACAAGCTCGATGACCCACCCTTTCGTTTACCAGACGCTTCAACTCAAGATTTATTGTAAGCGTTTTCTTTCCGGAGATCCCCCCGTGGGAATGCGAACAAAAGGCTCTTCGTCCGTGAGTACATTGCGCCACTTGTTGCACCTCCTCCTTCATCCATCACACGGAACACTTACAGATACGCTGCAAAAAGCTCCTTTTGCTTCGCACAATATCCACACTTTTGCTTTGCCGTTGAAATAAACAAACAAAGAATCTACTCAGTGGCACAGACAAACAGCAACAACAACCACAACTGTCGGTGCCTACAGGGTGTGCTTTTGTTTTCTCGTTTCGAAGGCCAACGGTAAGCTCGGCTCACCCTTTACGTCAGGAGATGCAGTACAGTACACAACGCCGTCGTGTGGCTCCTTGAACGTGACTCTGTAAAGGTCGGCACTGCGCGTCACTGCAAGGCGCTATCTTACGAAACATCCTGAACGAGCGCTGTCAGTGGCCTTTTCCAGTGATTATAAAATTCATGGGGATGACGGCGGCACCAAACCCATATACGTGCTGTGGGGGGGGTAGGAGAAGCTGTACAGGTGTATACTAGCCATATGCGCGCCAAAGGCTGATCAGAAATGACGTGCATGGCGGCATGGGCGGTGCACTCGGAAATCCACAGGGGCTGGAGAAAGAGAGAGCGAGGAAAAAGGGAGAGAGAGAGCTTTTTCCCGTGGCCACGAGGGGCCAAGGACGCTCTCTCTTTCTCCTTCTCCCGTACGTTGTTGTGCGACGCAGACGCTTGTGTATGTATTTATGCACGCAGTTCTCTTCTTCGGCGTGAGAGACACGTGTTTGGATGCTTCGTCTGCGTCTCCGATTGGACTTTGTCAGGCGTTCCCTGCTATCATTAACGGGGAAGCTACTCCGGTTTGAGGTATTTTTACGTATCTTTTTAGCAGGGTCCAGAAAACTCGGCGAGCAACCTTGCGTTGCTGCATTGTTTTTTTAAAAATTTTTTCAAGACGGGACTGACCTTACGTTGAGCTGTACCACTTGCTGTATTTTATGGCTGTAGGTGTTGTCGGGTGCAGCGTGACGATGTTTCTATCTATTAAGGGTGGTTTTGTGGTCGTTTTAGGGTTTACAGAAGTGATTTTTTTTCTTTCTTACGAGGAAAATGGAAATTTGGGCCGTATTTACGAGATTTTGTGACTGATTGAATAGGTGATTTTTTTGCTTAAACGTGTTGGTGATGATGATGAAAACGAAAAATTGGTGAAAAACCCCGCAGAGAAATGGTAGCTGAATGTCTTGCTGATTATTGTGGTGGTCTGAAGTTAAATTGTCTTCTTTTACTTTTTCTAGTAAATTTTTGAGTAACTGTCTTCTAGTAAATTTTGTCCATGCTGTATCGAAGAAAAATTTCAGAAAAAAAACCATCGATTTGAAACTTAAACAATTAAAATCTCACGTTTGTAAATGGTTTAAGTGACTTCAAGTTTAATAAGAGTTTATAATAAATTCAGAGAAACGATTGCACTTAATTTTTTTCAATTCAATTTTATTTTTCATCTGAGATTTTCGTATCATTTGCAGTTATGATTTTTTTTTGTTTTTTGTTTGTAAATGTTAAATATCGTGCAGGTTTCGAAAAAAGCTCACTTTGTGTAGCAAAAATATTAAGAATCTGAATGAATTATCATCTGACGATAAATTTATTTGACGTGTTCGGCATGAAAAATAGTATATGATTTGACCATCAATGTATTTTTCAAACATATGTTCAGGGTATGAAAGCAGAATCCTGTAGAAATGAAAAACAGTTCGTAAGTGCTGCTTTCTAATGTATAATTTTTTTTTTCGTAATATACTTACTATAAAATGTACATACAAATTCAAATATGATTCCTCCAGATGATAAAACTTTTTTTTCAATATTTGTATACATCGTTTTTTTGCAACTTCAAGCAAAAAAGTATCACCAGTGAGCAACGATTTATAAAGAGATTGATGTTCCTATCTGAACGTCAAGTAAAAAACGAGTTATTGGATATTTATATGGCACAAAACAAAGCTGAATAAATCTTTTTTTTTGATAAAGAATCGCGTGACATCGATATTCAAATCTTCTGTTATAGCCATTATATATACATAGTTTATAGGCACGTTATACCGTGAAATAATGATCTATACGTGGTCTAGGGTATTTTAACACATTGGTTGTCATACAGTTTTTAATAATTGGATGGAAGTTTTCAAAATTTTTATCAGAAAAGCAATTTTAACAATTTTATAGATTTTAGTGGTTTTAAGTGATATTATAGTATATACTATTGAATAAAAAATGTCAGTTAAAGTAACATTATCGATTGATTCGAACATTTTTTTTAGATCAACAAATTTTTCTTGCGTGAAATGCACATTTTTTAACAATATCAAAAACTGATTGTTCAAAGCTAATGAGTAACAAGCTGGAGATTCAATGTGAACAGATCAAACAAAAAAGTTTAATTGACTTGAAACTAATAAAGTTAGTCTGACACTATACTGCAATCTATGTGTAGTTAAATTTTTTCTTGTATTTTGAAGCAGCGATGTTTAAAAAATCAAGCCATCCGTAACATCCGTTAAAAATTTAACTTTAAATTAACATTTTTAGACGTGTATTTACTTATGGCTTTTTGTTTCATATTTGGCCAATAGAACCACACAGCTAGTTCTATCACTAAAGACGTAACTTCAAATTCACATAACTATTGTGCAAGAGCCAATCGTGAGCATTACACGTAAATTGGAAACGCAACCGTTCTAGAAGCTTAAAAAAAACTTCTTTTCGGTAGAGTGAGCCATCATTCTTTTTTGAACCATTTTTTCTTCCATAGTTAGTCAAACAACTCTAAATATTATTTACAGTGGCTCTTTTTTCTCAAAAGTATAGGGATTTTTCGTAAGTTCTGTTTACTTGTGAGTTTGAAGAAAAAAAAAAAAAAAAAAACTGTTTGAGTTTTACTGGAATGTGCAAAAGTATTCAAGACGATGTTGGTATTATAGATACTCCAAAGATAATATCTGCATTTCCAGTAAGAGGATATCTGTGCAATCTTAGGCAGGAAGAGATGTCTGTGTCAAGGGAAAAATATAAGCTGAAGAGCGTACCAAACGGAAAGAGTACGCTGATGCGCGCGTATATGAGAAATTTCGCAAATAAAATCTCAAGGAACCTGATTACCCGAAATTGAAAAAAAAAATTTTGAAACACATTGAGTTAATTATTCCATATGTCTCTAGAAATATCGGGTCACTCGTAAAAAGTAATTAACAATATAATGCCTGGCATATTATTATTATTTTTTTTTGTTCAAAGGGATGCAAATTTTTTCCAAAAGTAAAAAAACTCGCATTAGAAACGTATTTGACTTTTTATAATTTATAAAATAAACAAAATGTGGCATCTGTAAGTTGCAAAAAAATGCCAATCGATGGAAAAACAAGGAGGTTTACAAAAACTTTGATAAAAACAAAATTTCACCATCCCTTAGGACGCCTCAGTGGAAATTTTTGTGAAACTTTGATCGCTTGCAGTGGTCATCGATGTGTATACATACATCATATAACTGTATTCAACCGGACACCTGTTAGCAGGAGGCGATGCGCCCGCCCGCACGAACTAGTGTACATGTGAAATACGGTACTGACGCGACCGACAGCTGAATGGTGACAGGCACAGGTTGACATGTCATGTGTACCAATCAGTGAGTTTTTGTTTGATGCAACAAGTACAAAAATCTCAAATGCTCTGAAGCTTCTAAACAAGCAGAAAGTAAAGAAAGTTAGAAAAAAAAGACTCACCAAAGTACATCTGCAGCGAGTGGTTGGCCTCCTCACCGGGGGCGACTCGCTCCTCGAGCATCCTCTCCGGCATGAGTTTGACTACTCCCATATTTGTCTCGGCAAACAGATCCGGGAAGTCGAGACAATCGCAAAGTGACGAAAAAAAAAAAAAAAAAAAATAACAAAAACCAAAACAAAATAAAAAAGAACACGATACTACCAACTCGACACAACGAGGCGAAATAAAATCAAACAAACGACTGTCGCACGTAGCACTATCCGACAACGGCGACGGGGGGCTACTCGCTCCGGGCGATCAGAGTCGAATGAGGATCTCCGATCGGTCGGGGAGCACCGGTACGCTTACGCACTAAAAAAAGAGAGGGAGCGAGAAAAGCCGGGCACGCGCGCGCACACAGAGCCACCCCTTCTTTCTATCCGCTGCCCTTAGCCGACGCCGAGGGACAAAGACGGAAAGGCAAGTGGCCCGTGTCCTAGGCCTCGGCTCGCGGCCAACAGGATAGCGGCAAGGATACACAGCAGGTATGGGTGCAAAGCACAGAACGCGTACAGATACGGTCACTTGTAGGGCCGCGCTTGCGCGGGTACATTGTAACACGAGCACAATAGCAGCGACAACCATAGCGTGGCTATACCTACGCACGATGGTTAAGGGAGGAGACACGAGTTACCTCTCTCACTTTGGTAGCTGCTCACCTCATCTCACCTCTCGCAGGACAGGGAAGCAAGCTCTGCCAAGAGTTACGGGGAAAAGGCCTGCAGTCCGAGGATGAGCTTACCGGCAGCGAACAGGAAAGAGAAAGAGAGAGAGAGAGAGATAGATAGAAAAGCGTCACCTTGAAAACTCCGCGAGTAGCTGTGTATGGAGGTGCAGGAGTGATGCCATCAGTCTGGAGTGGGGCGACCAAGGCGCATCAAATACGCACATACACAGGGGGTGATCAGCCATCAGGGGCAATGTCGAGTCCACAAGTGGGTCTCGGTGAAGGTCTCGGCTCCCAGCCGGCCTTCCAACGCTTCTCCCTTTCCCATCGGTCCGTTCACGGTCGCGTCTCGTGCGCATAGCCTAGTAGCTTGCAGGTAGCTCAGTGGCAGCCTCTCTTCCCCCTTACCGCATGCCTCATGCTATTTTTTTCCCCCTCTCAGTTCTATACACCCTCGGCCCTGTAACATTTCCATCCGTGAGTCCTACGTGCCATGAAAATCTTACTTTTGCACAGAGGCTCGTGTCTAATCCTGTTTTTATATGTCTTGCGTTGGGTTGAAAGGATGCACTGTGTGGAAATCATGCTTTTCTTTTCTTTTCTCTACGGTACGTTGTGCTTTCCGCTTCAGGGCACGATATTTCGCAGATGTCAAGTTGTGTCCTGTGAAGAAAAATAAAACTTACTGTGTGGTATCTGTAATGAAATGAGCGTATCATAGAAATTTTTTTTTTTCCTTCAAATTTCTATTAACTGAGGTCCAACATATTAATTTACACTTTTAAATAAGCTCCCACAACTCTTTTGTTTTATATAGGTACACACGGATGGAACCCTGATGGAACAATAGTTTCAGCCTTCACACGCAGCATTAGTATTAGCAGGAAGTTGGTTTCTACATCCTAAAAAAATCTAACTTGTCACAGCAGTACCGAAATTTTGTGTCTTACTATACTTGAAGTATTCTACTGAATAAAGATATACTATCATAATAACAAAAAGTTTATAGTCGAACAAAGACTTTTACTTCCAAATTTTTTATAGCTTCTTTATGTATTGTAGTATTTTTGTAAGCCCATAAACTTTTTTCAGTGATGTTCTCATCTTTTGAAATCTATTTACATGGTACTTAAAGATATACTCGAATTTCACAAACTTTGGTTATACACTGGGGTTCATGAAACATCAAAATTATGAGTTTCCAGTTAGGGTACGCAGGAGGGTTGTTCAATTATTTTTGAGTTCAAATTTTGATAAAATAAATCCATGTAAAATGTAGTTTTTAGCTAAGAATGCTTTACAAAATTTTTATGAATTTCATACGCTATGGATGCTCACAACTTTTTTGATACTTTTTTTTGAACTTTTCATCGTATGTAAGCAACTTGGATTTCGTTACTTTTGAACTTTTTACTCGACTGTGAAAGTTTTAAAAGACCAATTTCTCCGAAAGCCTTCGATCTACTGTTTGTGTTCCTTTCAGGTACTTTATTCTGTCCTACAAAAGACACGCACGAGTTCACTCACATCTGCTCTTCTTATAGTACGAACTGACAGCCTTTGTGTACGTTCGATCGAACTTCGTTATTTGACCGAGATGAAAAGAAAGTTTTTTTTCTCGCTTCCAATTTTCTGAAAGCACATCCTAAATACTTAATGAAATCGAGAGATGAGACGCGTTGTTATTATTATTTTTTATACCGAGATTTTTTAGAGGACGATGACTTTCTGAAAACCATGCCTATTTTTCTTTTGTTTTTCCATTGTTTCTTATTTCAAGATTGCAAATTTCATCAGTTGTCAATATCAATTCAAACTATTACAAGCTTTACTATTTACCAGTTTTTTGTAGGTAAAACGAAAACAGCTTACACGCGATCACATTTATGCTCAACTCAATCAACAGTTTTATCCTCTTGCACGACTTTTTTTACTTTTTCTCCTTTGTAGATAACATTTACCACTACCCCATATAACTTTCCATTACATCAATTCGAGTATTAACTCCAGTGCAGTCCAGCTGATGGGGTCCCTGGTGTAATTTCCTGTTTCTCGGCTGCTTCGATCCTTTTTCCCTCTTTCGTCCGTGCACATTGTGCAACCAACCCATACGCGTACGTCCAAGTCCAGTGAGCCTCGTAGGTATTAGGGGATCCGGCTATGCAGTATAAACGAGGCTCGTGTCGCGCTATACATGGAGCTTGGAGTCCACCGCAGTAGTAGCAGTAACAATACATACAAGTAATTATCCTATTTGAGTGTCGTTTACGGTAGTTTGCGTCAAAACGAAAAGTGACTTTGACGGGGATTAATTTGTACGGATTCTCTGTTTCTCTTGGTATCCACATGTTCCCATTTCACTCTTCCGTTGTCCACTGGCGTTATTACTGTGACAACATGGAAAAATAAAGAAGTAAGCGACTCGATAGCTTTTTTTTATTATTTTTTTTTTTTAAAGTTTGTTGTAAGTTTCACTTTGAGGTGCTTGAAAAATAAATTGTAGGGAGCAGATTAGAAACAGAGACTTTCTTGTATCTAGGAGTTATATGTTTTCCAGCATGGAGAAAACATTTTTTTTTTCATCATTCAGCGAGTTCTAAGCGTTAAAAAAGAATCTGGACTCTACGACGATATTGTTTCAAGATGTTGGTAGCTTTTTATTTTGGACATCAAATATCGAATGCGGAGAGTAAGTGAATCAAACAAGTTGACGATTTATCATGAATAAAATGCGCTACCTACATTTTTTATGACAAAAACAGAAAGTCAAAAACAGTATTTGAATAAATTGCCTTGTATTAACCAAAGTAGGCTCGACTAATGAGTACCTTTGCATCGTTTTCAAAAGTCTTTGAGAGTAAGTATGTACTTTTGAAGCCACTTTTTTTTTTTTTTGTTTCCACCAGAGTAATTACATGTGGTGAGTACAGCCATTTATTTGGCAGGTCTGGTATAGCTCTCCCCGTTTTAGGGGAGCTCTGTTGATTAATCGCGTCTTAAATAAAAGATTGACCGGAGGGTATACGAAATCGCAACAAGAAGATTAATTTACGGAAAAAAAAAACAGATGAGGAAAAAAGTTCGGTCAATGTACCCAACATTAGGAAGAGAGTCCGGTTGAGTAATACATCGACGAAGCCAAATGCCCCGACAGGTAAACAATTTATTTACCGTTCTTTCTCTCCCTTTTGTATCTGTACGTTTTCCAAGTGAAGGAGATTTTCACTCCATAAAACTCACCCTTTAAAAATAAATATCCAATAACAATAAAATAAAAACAACAAAAACAAAAAAAACAACAACAAAAATATGGCAGACTGTATTTTGCATGGATAGCAGTCATCTAACGAGGAAAGAGAAGTGACAAAAAAAAAGGACGGGCACCCAATACAGAGATCAAAAAAAGGCAAGCACAGCCGTGTGAAGAGAAAAAAAAGATTATTTTACTCCTGGAAAAAAGTGGGGAACTACGAAGGGGAAGGGATCGTAGTTTCATAGCGCGACAAGTTTGTATGGCCGTGCTATGCTCGTGCCTTTCGTCGTGAACTCATATACCCTACAACGTGCAAGTAGTGTGCGTAAGCCTCATGTCAAGGTCGCCCGAGGACTCGACCCGGCGCGAGCCTTATCGATTCAACTTGTTGCACGCTGGCAAACAAAGGGGGATGGGCGAACGCTTTCACGCATCGTGGTACCGGGGCTCTGTAGACATGAGCCGCATACGAGATGTGGTTGATCCGGATTATTTTTGCTACTGGTCTGATAATGGTTACCGTACACCTACAGTCATTGAATATTATGAGTAATTGTTGAACCGCGAAATGACGATTGATGGTTGATACGTGAAAAACATTGACGTTCACTTTTTGGTATTTTATTTTCTTGTCGTTGAAAATTGTTCGGTCGATGCGTGCACGTATAGTTGTAAAATCATTATAAACATTAGATCGAGGATTTTTTTTTTATTACCCAGTGGATAAACACTAGTTGAATAAACTTGATCATCGCATTGCCTGAAAATTCAATCGTATCTGTATATTATTGGTCGTACTGCCATTGTGAGGAAAAAAAGAGACACCGCGCACATGAAAACAAATTTCACAAGGACGCAAAATAAGTACCATGCAACGACGCACGGCAGGGAATACCTACATGTGAACATAAATGTTAGCATAAATCACCATGAAAGTCAAGCACAGAGCCATTATGTATTGGCCTGTTCGATCCAATGTATAAGTGCGTACAGCGGCAACAGCTGTACATCGATCGCGGTGAAAGGCGATGTTTCAACGTGTCGGAATAACAAAGGCTAAAGGCTAACAGTCATGCGATGACTGGATACATAACAGCCCATATGCATATATAATGTACGAAGGATATTTCTATTCTTTTGTGTGTGTGTGTGTGTGTGTGTGTGTGTG